TCTGTGGTGGTGCATCCCATGGGGCGTGGAGGTGCCAGGATTGGCGCCACAACAGGGACCGCCACCCTGGCAGTGAAAAGAAAAGGGAGGTGGGGGTTCGCTGTTGGGGTGAGGAGGGGGTGGTTGGCATTCCCCACCCCTGCCAGCAAGGGCTCCCTTGCTCCTGACTGCGGACTGCAGCTCCCACGCCCTTGCACCCAGGACCAGGCAGGCAGCAGATGGGGATGCTTGGACAGCCTTTGGCTGGTCTGGCTGTGCCTCATTCTCTGAACTCTGTGTCAGGCCAGCGTCCACATCCTTCCCTCCCTGCCCCCTGGCTCTGGGAGAGGAAAGGCAAGATGAAGACCAGAGAAGCTCTCTCCATTCCTCCTAGGGCCGTGATGTCTGGCCAAGGACTTGAGCTCCAGCACTGGCGAGGCGGAGGCAAGGCAGGCTAGGCTCAGAGAAGCGCAGCAGGGGGAGCGGTGTCACCCCCCCGCCCCTGGTAGGCAAGAGATGCTGGCTTCAGCCCTGCTGCCTGTGATGGACGGGCAGGGAAGACTCCCTTGCAGAATGGAAACAGTTCCCAGCAGCTAGCCCTCACTGAGGGAGCCCGGAGGAGCCCTGCCACCACCGACCCACGGGGCATGGTGAAAAATAGGTCGCCCTGATCACCCCCGCCCTCTCCCCCGGGCCAGGACCCCCAGCAGCGTCCCCACGAAGTCCCTCCTCAACAGTCCTCCGGGATGGCAGATGACGCCACCGAGACGCCCCACTGACTCACACAGCCCCCTTTCCTGGCCCCAGGCCCAAAGCCAGCGGGGGCCCAGCCCCCAGGAGGCCCAGCTAGCTAGCACCGGGAGGCAGCGTCTTCCCGAGGACTTGGTGTCAAGATCTCAGCCACAGGCGAGGGGGGATGAGACAGGGGAGCTAGGCTTCTTGGGGTCCAGGTCTGATGAGTTCCCTGCTGGCACTTGCAGAGGACAAGTTGGGCAAGGTCCCCCTGGGCTGGAAGGTGCTCGGGGACCTCTCAGGACCACCCAAGCTGTGAAATAAGCTCCTTGTGTGCGTACCCAAGACCCTGGGAAAGTCAGATAGGACCTTGCTTCCTGCTCAGCCCAGCCTGTGCATGGTAGCCCACGGCAGCAGCCCAAGTGGACTGGAGGCGAGGGGGACCTTCCCAGCCCCCAATTTCCATTCTTGGCCAGCACATTTTGGTCCTAGGGCTAATTCCATTTGGTAGAAGCTTGGGAAAAAGGACTCATGGAAATTGACTCAAATAATTGGACATGGTCAGACTGGAGGGGACACCCCACACAGAGCAGGCCCTCCAAATGGCCCATCTTTGTGTCCTGGGTTTACAGGGTGGCCATGCTGGATTCCAGGCAGCTCAGGCTGGGGGTGGGGGGGCCAAGGCTGGGGTCCCATGTTGATATCACTGCAGAGGGCTCCCCAAAACCCTGGCATTGGCTTATCTGCCTCCTGGACCCTCAGGAGCTGCCCCAATAGGACCTGCCCAGAGGAAGTGACGAGATCTGGATCCCTGGGACTTGCCTTTCTCTCTCTGAACCACCCAGATGCCAGGGTCCAGGATGAAAACGCAGCTACCCCTGGCAGAGGCCTCTGCCTATCTCTGTATCTGTCCAGTCTACAGCCCAAGGGGCTGCAGAACCGACCCCCTCCTCACTGCCACAGCCCTGAAATCTCCCCAGTCTGCCCAGCGATGCCAGCAAAGGGCAGCTTCCCCTCTCTTTGGAGGACTGGGGCCCTCTCTCCTGCGAGAATGTACAGAAGGCTGGGGAGAAAAGACACAGACACGGGATACCCAGAGGGCAGCTCCCTTGGTGTCCCGCGAACTGCTCTGCTAGGATCCGCGCCCTGGAGGTCTCTGGGGTCTCTGTGCGGGAGTCCCACACCCGCCCACACTCCGGGCAGGTGGGAGGGGGTGCTCATGCTGGAGCCCAGGAGCTGTGCAACCGCAGGACCACAGCAGCCCTCTGGTTGTCCCGCATGCAAGTCAGCAGCCAGGATGCGGACCTTTAAGGCGGCAAAGGAGTTCTGTGTGCCTGACCCCAGGGGTGCCAGAGAACGGCCCAACCGGGATACAGCGGCTGTTCTCGCTGCTGCAACCTTGCGGGGCGCTGGGCGATCGCTTCCCTCTAAGTCACTCCGAGGCCGCCAGGCTGCCAGCAGAGACGGCTGAGCCTTGACTCCTGCAGCGCTGGCTTCAGACCTCAAGTCTGGGTGAACACAAATGCAGTGCACCCTGAGAGAGGTGCTGTCCTCGAGGTTCGCTGTCGGGGGTGTCTTCAGGCTCAGGCCTCCGTGACAGCGAGCAAAATTCCAGCGGGAGTCACCTCCCCAGGTCGTGTTCTGCGGTCCCGGAGACCAGGTCCGGGACACATCGGAGGCCCAACGGAGCGGCAAGAAATCGACGGGCCTGTCTCTGGCTCTCAGGGCAGAGTCGCGAGGGTGGCTGGCATGGTGAGGGCGCAGGCCCAGCGCTGGCCGAAAAGGGCTGCCCCGGGCTGCGCGGGCACCAGCAGGAAGAGGCTCTCCGGAGCGCAACGGCCCGGCCTCGGCCCAGATCGCGCCGCAAACGGGGCCCGGCAGCTGCGCGCTCACTGCTCCGAACAGGAAGCGCTCAGTGCCCTTTATTTCAAAGGCCAGGAATTAAGGCAGTTTTCCCCCCTCCACGCGCCCCGCTTCGCCCGCCACTTTCCACCAAGCCCGCACGGGCTCAGACCGTTCCGCCCCAGTGGCGGAGCTCCGCGGCGCACAGAGCCGGGTTCGCTCTGGGCACCACCGGGACTCCGGCCGGCCGGCCCCGCGCGCACCCGCTGCGGCTCCTTGCTGGGCCGGCCCCTCACCCTACAGGTCCTCGTTCGTCGCGTCCCGCTGTTTTGGGACGCTCCTTTTTCTTTCTTTCGTTTTGTTCGCTCTCTCCCTCTTCGTCCCCCTGACCCGCTTCGTCCGATCTTTTCGCTTGCCTTTTTTTTCTTTTTCGTTCATTTTTCATCTTTTGCTTTTTCGACCTGCCCAGACCGCCGACTAGCGTTCGCCTCTCGTTCTCCCCGCTCTCCTCGGTGGTTTTCTTCAATTTCCTTCCCCCGTCTTCTGGTTGTTTTTCGCACTCTGCTTTCCTGTCTCTGCATTTCGTTGCGGACTGCACGCTTCACCGTCGGACAGAGGCTGCTGGCACCCCATACCTCTCATCTGGCCCCAGCAGTCTCCTTAGTTCGCTGGGCGCCGGCGCGGGCGGCGCGGGACGCCCGAGCGCCCCGCTGGCTGGGTCCCGCGGGCGGCTCGGCGCGTTGGGCCAGGCCAGTACCTGTCCCCAGCGGTGCGGTCGGCTGCGCGGCCGCCGCCGTCTGGCCGGGCTCAGAGGAGCCAGGCCAACTGCTTCTCATTAAGTTTCAACTGTGGTTTTTATCAGGAGAGCCTCTTTCAAAGGGCACAGGCAAGAAGCTCCGCGGACTCGCTCATTTCCTCCGCTGACCCCCACACACCTCCTCGCCCTCCCCCACGCATTCCCACCGCCCCGGTTGGACCAAAGCACCAGCTGCCCGGCCACTGCCCTGGCTCCGACCACTCCGCGGAGGCCTGCGAGGCGCCGGCGGGCTTGGGAGATTTCGGAGGAGCCAGCTTTGGGGCCTAGGCTGCGGGATGTGGCAGCTCATAGCGGGTGGCACCACGCTGACACTCGGACAGGTCAGCGGCGGGTGCAGCGGGCTGTACGCCAGCCGGCCGGGCCCCGCACCAGGTGCGGGTGGAGAGGCCATCGGGATGGACTTGGCACACAGGGACACTGGCCCAGGAGCCCAAGGCAGCCGCCGGTGAGGCCCGCACGGAACTGCTCTGTAGGCCCCGCAGTGACGATCCGGTGCGGGAGAAAGCCGAGACTGCAGGGCGGCCATCACTGTATGCGACAACGGGGAGGCCAGGTTAGTCTGAGAAATAAGAGCACAGTGACTGCGCCTGGAGAACGGCCCCGGGACCGCGGAACCGGTCCCCGCCACTCCCGCGGAGCGCTGAACGCACGGCCAGCGCCCTTCCCGCAGGGCCGGCCCGGGGAGCAGAGGCGGCCCAGGGGCTGAGCCCCGCTCGGCCGCTCTAGAGCCAGGCCCAGCCTCTGGGCCCCCAGCGGGCGCCAGACACAAAAGCTGAGCTTCACCGCCTGCGTCCGAGCTCAGCGTATCCCGGCCGGTCGGGGCTTCTGGGCCGAGCACGGTCTCTGTTTCTTGGCCCCCGGTGGTCGCCGCTCCGCCCTTCCTCGACCTCCCGCTTCCCATTCCTGCCGCCGGGGACACGGGCGATTCTGTCTCCCGCACCGTAGTGGCTTTTGCCGGCTCCGGGCTAAGCGAAGACCCGGCTTCCGAGGGAGCCGAGGCGAAAGCCAAGAGGGACAAAAAGTTGAGCTAAGACGCGAGTTGGAGAAAGCAGCATCAAGGCCCGGCGGGCGGGTTTAGGGCAGGAGGAGAGAGGGTCAGGGCCAGCGCGCTCCTTCCGCGCCGCGCATTACCTTCCGCGGGGCCCTCGTAGAAGTGGCCGCCGTTGAGCGCCGGGCCGGGCCCGAGGTCTTGCAGGTACTTGGCGGGCGGCTTGGCAGGCTCTGGGAGGTAGGGCTCCAGGGGCCCGCAGGCCGGAAAGCGGGTCAGCCGCGGGCCGTGGGGCGGCCCGGGGTGCAGGTGAGGCACAGTGGTGGGGTTCCCCTGACGGCCCGAAGGCTCATCCCCTGCGGCCGCATAGGGGCCGGGTGCGGGCCCAGCGCCGAAGGGAGCGCAGCGCTCAGGGTCCATGCCGGTTCGGGGCGCACAGGCCGCCGGGGCTCCGGGGCTGCCCGCGCGGCCTGCGAGCGCCCGCCAAGGGGGAGGGACCTGGGCGCGGGGGCGCGGAGCCCCCGGGAGCGGCGCACGCCGCGGGGGGTGGGGGGCCTGGGGCAGGGGGGGCTGCGCCTCTGACTTAATGCTGGAACCATTCACGTCACGTGCGCCCCGCGCGGGTTAACCCCTCGGAGCCCGGGAACCCCGATTCACCCCGAGCCCCGCGCCCCGCGCCCCGCGGGTCCCAGGCGGTTCGAGCGGAGGAGAAGGAGGAGGAGAAAGCGATTTCCTCTCCCGGGTAGAGTCCTTTTTGTCTGCCCGTGCGGGTGAGTCGCTCGCTCCTTGGTCGTGATACCAGCCCAGTGGCTCTTGCTGCTGGAGGGGGGGAGGCATCATGGGCGCAGACCCCCTCCCCCAACAAACCCAGGCCTCTTGTCCTGACGTCAGCCTGGGACGAGGGCCCCGGGGCAGGCAGGGCTTGGCCTGCGACTTTACCTTGCTGTCTGTGCTGGGAGCTGGACAGCACGCTGGCCCCGCAGAACCTTGTCCCTCCACGCTGAGCAGACTCGTCACTGGGCCTGTTGGTGTGGAAGCAGCTCTGAGCTGGAAATGGGCTGGGGAGTTCAGAGGGGCACTGTCGTTAATTAGCAGTGGGGTGGCGAACCAGTCGCTTAGTGTCATCTCACGGAGCTCTCATGGCCTCTCTGTGTATTGGAGGTGAGAGGCTGAAGGCGAGTGGCAGGGCTGTGCAGGCTCCGGCAGAGGCAGCCCTGTGGGACAGGTGTTCCCCTAGCAGCAGGCAAGGAGTGCCGGAGCCTGGCGGCAGGCAGATGATCCTGGCACCTGGGGTCTCAGTGGAGAGAGGCTGTGTGCAGGTGGATGGGCGTCAGGGTAGTGCTGCTGCAGGCGCCATTGTGGGGGAGTGAGGGTAGGATTGCCTTTCCTAAGAGCTGGGTCTTCCCAGCCAAAAGCACAATAGGTTTAGGGCAAAAGCTTAGAATTATTTTTTTTTTTTAAAAAGAAGGTAACAATGGCCACCCTAACCAAGATCTGAGAGGAAACAGCACAGGGCCCCAGGACCTGCTGTCTGGCCTTGGGTTCAGGAGCCCTTGGGTCTGGGTGAAACCATGTTTATTTTCCGTGCCCCCAGAGACCAGCAAGAAGGGTGGGGGAGTCGAGTATCGTTTTTATTTCATTGGAATTCTCGATTTTTAAAGGAATCCGAGAGGCCTGGTGTGAACACCTCCCTCTTCCGCTAGAGGCTTAGAGGGGGTTTCTTGGCTGTCCTCAGCCCAAGTTGGGCTGTAAATCAAGGCCAAACAGGAACCAGAAGCCTTGCATCTCACAAGGAGTCATTAAGCCGTTATTAAGCATACCGTGACTGCTCTGAAGCCTTATTGGTTTAAGCACCACGTTGGAGGCACTGTGGCCCTGAGGGCCCCCAGCAGCCTGCGGCCGAGAGATGGCAGCACCTGGGGCTGCTCGGCCAGCCAAGAGGGAGGCTCCGATCCAAATCAGGCTGGCCCTCTGCTCTCCCCAGGGAGAGCCATTCTCTGGGATCCAGTCGATCCCAGCTCTGGGCAGTCAACTTGTACTGATCACCTTTGCCCGGGGTCTTCGGTAGCCTGTTGAGCTGGATGTTGCTGACTTTCTAGAAAGGACAGCTGTTCAACAAAGTTGTCAGACAGCTTTGAGGGGTGATGCAAAGAAGTCGCAGGACAAATGTCACCAAGAACTAAAGCAAGGCGGCCCAGATTCCTTCGTTTTCTGCCTCAGGCAATAAACTTTCTGAACCTCAGCAAGATCACACACACACACACACACACGCACATACACACACGCACACACGCACCCACGCACGCACGGCCAGGGGGCTTTGAGAAGCAGTCGCGTTCTGATGCACTGCGTTCGCCGAAGACGTGATGGTGGCAAAGCTGCTCTCCAGACACTGCGGCCCAGATTTCCGGGTTCTGTCACTGAGGCAGTGACAGAAGGGGGCCTCAGGCTGGAACTGAGCTGAGAGACCGAGGGACCCCACTCCTTCCCGAACCCAGAACTTTCTCTGGACATCCTTGTACTCACTGGACAGGGGCGTTTCCTGTGCCGAGACAGCGTTGCCAGCTGAACTGGAGACACCAGCAGTCCCAGGTGACGTGCAAGTTGGGTGAGTAAGGGGAGGCGCCCCTCCTGCCAGGGTTTTCTCTCAGGACTGGGCAAGACAAGACACGGGGAGGGGTCTTTCCTGCTCCCCTTCTAAGCCCCTTGTGGAAACCAGTATCTTCAGCCACATGCGATGTGGGGTGGGCGAGTTTGATGGAGCAGGTGCACAGAAAACACAGAAACAGCTTCAGAGTGACGAAGCATTCTCTCTTAGGAGGGCTGGGAGGCTGTGGAGTATCAGGCACAAGCAGCAGCTTCTCCAATACTCCCCATGTGCCCTGCGCTGTGGCGTGGACGCGACACACATTGATGTGTGGAATCTCACAATGACACCATGAGGTGGGCACAGTTACCAGCCCCGTTGTACCGAGTGAGCTGGTGCTGTTTGTTCAGGGTGGACGTGGCCAGTCTGTGGCAGGACCAGAACTGATGCTCGGATCTGTGGTCCCCTGCCCCGCGTGGCTCCTTCTTAGACCTCCTTCAGCGAAGGGAATGAAGATGAAATCATTCCCTGCACACCGTCCTTTTGCCTTCTGGGGGGTGGGGTGGGGCGGGGAGGGGGCTTCTTCCTGGAAGGCGCTTGTGGAAGTCAGAGTGGATTGAGGACAGAGCCAGTCTGCGATGGAGCCATGCTGCTGCTGTGTTCCAGCCATGCTGGGAGCAGGGGCATAGCTGAGACTCGCAGTGCTCCGCCATGGTGGCGGGGCCGGCAGCTAGAGCGTGGAGTCTGCTAAGCTGAGCCCAGGTGAAACAGAGCATCTCACACCTTCGAGGTTTTAGGAGCAGCGCTGCCCGATGCGAGTCCCCCCTCCTTCTGTGTAACAACCAGTGGAATCACAATGGCATGTGTTACCCGGATGGCGTCCCGAGAGGGAGGGATGAGCTGAGGGTGTGTGTCGCAGAATTCTAGATCTTGTCACGAGAGTGGCTTTTGATGAACAGAGCCTCTCTCTCTACTGAGAAAAGCTCGCTGATCAGTGGACCTGACCCTCGTGGGCTGTCTGACACTGGCTGATTGGTGCATTCTCGTACTGGGAGGGCCTGCTAGTGGCAGCCGGCACCAGGGCCAGAGCGGAGAGCAGGACAGACGAGGTCCCCACCTGCACGGTGGCTGGGATGGCAGTGTGTCACCCACGTGGAAGAGATCTGCCCCCTGCACATGACACAGGACAGGATCTGATCCTGAAGACAGAGTTCCTGGCTTCTGGTCTGCCTGAAAGGTTCATTCTTTAAGGAGAGAGAAGGCAGCGCTGAGGACAGCCGTGCCGTTCGCAGGCTCCTACCCCTCAGCCCACACCACCCGAGGGAGGGCGCCTGCCTCCTTCCCCAGTGCAGCTGGAGCAGGGGTGGGAACGGCGGGACGACTGTAACCTCGGCTCCGAGATTTGATTGACACACACAAAACTTCCTTCCAGACAGGAAAACTTGAGTTGCTCTTTTCTTCTTCTTCTTTGAAGGGGAGGTGGTGGGTATTACCCTTGTCCTGTTTAGACACTGGAGTCCTAAATTGGTCCCAATGACAAATCCGGGTTGGAGAGTCCGAGTGGATTGTTTCTCATTAGTGACATTCTTCCTGGAAGGTCAGGCAGAGGGATGGTAAATAAACCTTCAGATCCGGTGCTTCCTCCTCACCCATGATATTTAAAAAAAACGAAGAAGAAAGAAGGGGGTGGGGGTGCGCTCTGTGTGGTGAATACCCAGAATCCCTGGCTGTGCTTCTGACAACTCAGGCTGACGTCTGTGCTTTGGGGTGAGATTTCTGAACGTTAGGGAGCTGCCCCCCCATAGATGGTTTGCTCTGTTTCCTTGGGAAAGGCACCCCACCTCTCCGTGCCTCAGTTTCTCCACTGGAGAACTGGGAGGACTGAGCCTGCAGTGCTGTCTGCCTGAGTTGCACGGGCCCCTGTGTATGTGGATGTTTCTCCAGCCTGCATCCTCCCCTGTACCTCACTGTCCGGCTTCTCCTCTGGGCGGGGGGGCAGGAAGGGAACAGGGAGGCGGAGCTGCGTGCGAAGGGGCAGTGTCCTCCTAGCTGACTTGCTGCTCCTGTGCAGAGGTACGTGGGTTCTGTAGCGAGTGCTGGCGCCATGGAAGACTGGTTTCGTGGAGGAGCTTGGTCAACTCATTCTTGGTGTGAGACAGAAGGGGGCTGATTCGGGTCTCTTGGCCACGTTAACACTTTTACTCATGAAGTTTGCACGTTCATGTATTCGCTGAGCATTTACGTGGTCCTGGCCATGTGCTAGACGGCGCGGATTGAGCCTGAGACAGCACTATTGCACACCAGCGGGAGAGACACAAAGTGACGGGCGTGGTCACTGACAGTGCACCGGGCGCCGCAGGGGCTGTGGGAAGAGCACTAGTCCTGGCCACAGGGACAGCTGGCGGCACCTGTCATGGATGTTCCGAGGTGGATCTGGAAAGCTGAATGTGGTTACTGGGGGTGCCATCCGTGGATGGGGGGCAGAGAGAGAGAGACGGTGATCCAGAGACCAGCCCAAGGCTGCGAAGGAGGAAGCCCAGTGTGAGGAAGTTGGATCTGTGTATTGCTTCCTGGGGAACAAGGAGAGTTTGGGTTGGGATGGGGGCATCCACAGAAACATCAAGACTCTGGGGAGCAGGAGGGATGGCCCCAGAGGTGTCGCTAGTGGCGTGTGCTGAACAGGGCTCTCAGCACTGGGGCCGCCAGTCAGAGATGAGGAGGAAGAAGAGCCTTGCTCTACGTGGGCACCTGAGACCCATGCCTGCAAGGCTGACACAGAGACAACACGAAACTGCAGCAGCGCTAAGGGCTTGCGCTTGCCGGGAGCCAGGAGGTGGGGTTGGGTGGAGCGCCTCGTGATGGCCGGTTGGGGTAGACTGGGAGGCATTTGGTAGCTGTGTTTTGGCTTTCACAGGGAGTGCTGGCCAGGGCACCCCTTGAACTCATTTCAGCAGGAAATCCATTGGTTCCAGAGTGCAGATTCCAGATCTGTTATTTTGTAGGGCTAATAAGTATGTAATGATCCCATTTGGGGCCCTTCACGGGCAAGGCCAACCTGCACCACCAAACACCCTGGCTGCTGTGTGCAGGGTGCACCCCAAAGTCCTGGAAGGAGCTCCTCGCCAGGCCGCAGAGGTGTCTGCTCCAGCTCAGGGCCTGCCCCTGCCCTGCTGGAAGCGATGTGGGTGCCACGGGGGAAGAGCAGTCTGAACTTTGCAAGGAGCCAGGAGAGAAGAGAGTGAGGGGCCTCCACCCTGTTTCTCCTGGAGCCTGCAGTGATGGGCGACAATAATAATGGAGCGGCCACTACTCGCAGATCACTCACCTGAGTGCCAGGCAAAGACCGTCTCATTGAATCCCAAGGCGCTGTTCATGTTCCTGTTTGTTTTACAACTGAGGTCAGATGTCGCCTAACACATCACTCAGAAACCTGAAATAGCAGTCAGTTCTTGTGGGTCAGGGATTCAGGACCGTCTTGGCTGAGTGGTCCGGCTCAGGGTCTCCTGGGACCCCAGGTCAGACACTGGAATGTTCAGAATGCTTCACTGGTGACTAGAGGACTTGCTTCCGCGTGTAGCTTGCTCATGAGCTTGGCAGTTGGTGCTGGTTGTCGATAGCAGGACTAAGTTACTCTCCATGCGGCCTCTCGTGGCTTATCCAGCGTCCTGACCACCTTGCGGCAGGCTTTCCCCCACAGCTGAGGGGCCAGGAGACCAAGGTGGAAGCTGCAATGCTGTTTATGCCCTGGCCTGGGAACTCAAAATGCGCCTTGACTCCTGCCGCCGTCTACTGGTTAGACAAGTGCACTCTGATTCAGGTGCCCCTCCTTGGGGGTCATCTTAGAATGCTGGCTCCCACAGACTGCCTGTCTTCCACCACTGCCAGGAGCTGCTGGGGTGAAGCCCCCAGTGCCTGGTCCCTGGTGCTCAATGCTAGGGTGGCTCACTGCTGGGGTGAGATGGGGTGTCGGGCAGGCCAGTGTCAGAGCCCCCTGGGCAGTGGGTATCACACCTCTTGTCCTGAGGTTTTCCGTCGACCTTGAGTCTTCAGCTGTCGTAGTAAGCTCACGACTCAGGGGCTCCCCCAGTACCGAGAGCTGGCCTCTGGGCTGCATGGGGGTCCCGTGGTTCACACAGTTAGAAGAAGGAAGCAGACACATTCCTAAGGCATCAGAAGCACGCTAGAATGCCCGAGTGCCTGCTGTCGGCCTAGCAAAGGGATGCTGGGCCTTCGACCTTGAACCCATGGAGATGCTGTGTGCCCAGCATGAATTAGGGGTGAACTGGACAGTCTGTGTGTTTACATTTTTTAAAAAAGATTTATTTATTTATTTGAGAGGAAGAGATACAGACAGAGGGAGGGAGGGAGAGAGTGAAGTCTTCCATCACTGGTTCACTCCCCCAGATGTCCACAACAGCGGGAGCTGTGCCAATCCAAAACTGGGAGTCAGGAGCTTCTTCCGGGTCTCCCAAACAGATGCAGGAGCCCAAGTGCTTGGGCCATCTTCCACTGCTTTCCCAGACCATAACAGAGAGCTGGATCAGAAGTGGAGCAGCCGGGATTCAAACCAGCACCCATATGGGATGCCGGGACAGCAGGTAGAGGCTTACTACCTTACTATGTCACAGTGCCAGCCTATATTTTTACGTTTTATATGATGCTCTCAGGAAAATCTACCATTTCTTCTACTCAACAGTGAGAATACAGAATGCAGAGAAGTTAAGTAAGTTGGCCAAGGGCCACGCTCTTCCTAAATGAGGAACGGAGGGTGGCTTTGTAGATTGGCTTGTCCCCTCTCCAGTGTGGCACACTGCCTTGGTCTCAGGATCCCAGTGGGGCAGACTGGGCAGAGCGAAGGGGCTGGAAACACACATCCGTCCGGAAGCTGGCTGGGGCCTTCCTGTTTCTTGGGAGAAAAGAGTTGTATCTCCGAGAAACGACCCAGAAATACAAATTGTGTTTGATACGTGTGCAGTGGGCTGCCCTTGCTGAAGCATGGACCTGTGGGAAGGGGCTGGTGT